ACCTGTGCACTGGAGAGGTCCCGGAAAAAACCCTTTCCCGCATGACGTCACGCATTGGGCATCCTTCAAATGCAGCAAAGCTTGGCATGAAGTACATCCAAATTTATTAGTACAAGTCGAGCACATCTCTTTACAAGCTGCCCGAGGCAGGGGAGGAAATAAAAAAACAAACAAAAAGAAGATTGTAAAGAACTGAGTCAGATTTGATTTCCTCTGAGTCAGATCTTTGGGATCCATGACCCAACTTTGCAGTTGCTGATCAGGGATTTCAAACAACCCCCAGGTATTAGCAACGGTAAAAAAAAAAAAAAGATAATTTATTGCTGACAACCCAAGTGTATATTGAAGATTGGTACAGTACACTGGTCTATGACCGCAATAAACATTGATTTGATTTAACTGAAGTTAGACAATCAGTTACTGTTGCCATTCTATCAGGCTTTTGTGAGGATTCGTCTTCCCGATTATGTTGTTTGTTTTAAATATTTTATTCCGGGCTTTAATATTCTCCATGTATTGCTATGTTTATTGTTTGGAACTGTCTTGAGGAACTCCTTTAGAGGAGAAAGAGAGCAATAAAAGGGCATTTTAGAAAGACACAAATCTTCAGAATAATCTTATCGATTTTTAACACTCAGAAGCCATGGGCATCTTTTGAAATGTCTGGGCATCATCTACAAAGCAAAAAAAGCTTCAATATCACACAGCAAGCTGGAGGCTAATCTTACCTACGCAAAGGCCAGCATCTGGATAGAAGCCAGCCCCACAGCTGTCAACGCAACGCCCCTTCAGTAGAAACTTGGTGGAATCTCGGCAGGCATCACAGCCATCAAATGCCTGGTTGCAGGTCAAACAATCAGGATGGCAGTGGCCTGTCATGAAAACGAGACAACTTTATTTGGGGTGAGGAAGTGCAGGGTGGGCTCACCTGCTCAGGTAGAAGGATGCTTCTGCTGCGTGGCAAAAAAACAACAACAAAAAACAAGCAAGCATCTTCTCTACCAGGTCAGAGCCCGGTTGAAATTTATGATTGTATTATGGTTATGATCATGATTTATCACTTGTTGCTTGTTTGTACACTGAGAGCCTCTGCACCGGAGACAAATTCCTTCTGCATCCAATCACACTTGGTCAATAATGAATTCTATTCTATTCTGTTGTTCTGTTCTGTTCTGTTGTTAAACAGGGACTACTTGTACTTACACAATCCACAGCTATATAGTTAGAGCAGACATGTCAAACACAAGGCCCGGGGGCCGGATGCAGCCCGCGAAGTGGTTTCATGTGGCCCGTGAAGCCATCCTGGAAAAGGTGAGGGAACGGCCCCCGCTGCTTTGGCCCTGGCCCAGGCCAGCTGGGAGCCAATGTACAATTTTGTGGTGGCCATCTTGGCACTTGCCCCGGTGGACCATGCCTTGGCACTTGCCCCAGTCCCACCCCCTTCTGCCAGAGACCTTCAGATCTGTCCCTCTCCTGCCCAGGCCCCCATAGGCACCCTTGACGCGAACGATGTAGAACTGGCCACGCCCACCCAGTAGCCACACCCACTCCATTCACGCCCACCCAGTAGGCTGCACCCACTCTGGCCACATCCACCTGCCCCCCCCGGGCAACTGCAATGCTCAGTGAAATTGAGTTTGA